CCTTATGGACGATTTCGTCGTTGGGTGAAACAGGGCAAACGCAACAATGGCGAGTATTATTATGAGGACACTATAGACTATGGCTACGACGAGGATAATCGAGAGGAGGATGAAGCCAAACTGATCGCTGACGGATACATGTTATTGGAAGAGTTTGACGAGTCTGAGGACGACCAATCTGAGCAGTCTAACTACTTTATGTCTTCTGATGATTGTGACGAAGTAAAACGCAAGCGGACTTGTCGCAAGTGTGGCAAATGCTTCGACACTCGGAGCAACTGCTTTAGGCATGTGTTTGCAAATAAATGCACCCCACCTAAAATGCGCAAATGGTCCTTCTCCGAGAGGCGCAGTCGTCGTGCATCTAGACGACGATCCAATAGCCCACCGCAACGATTACCTAACTACGTTCCCCCTTCTGTTGAAGACGTACAGGACGAGTTTTTCCTACAAGCTCAACCGGGAACTGAATTGTTGGACATAGAACAGGTCACGAGTGGCGGCATATTCCCTTGCGAGGAGAATCGGACAGTGGTGGGACATGGATTGCTGGCAAAGGAAATGAGGGACACCCCCATATACGAGATTTCGCCAAAACGTAATGTCAAACCCAGAATGAAGCGATATACCAGTATGGAACTGGTGGTCGAAAACGAACATGGCGACGAGTCTACAATATGTCCAGACACAGGAGCATCGAGTCAGATGGTGGACAAGAAATGGCTCGATGAGTTTATTGGCGACTACGAAACGTTCATTCCGGGAAAGTCAATGACCATTCGTGGTGTCATCCCCGGACTTCTTGAATTGACTACGAAAGCCAGATTCTACATATACATACGAGGAAAGGATAAGAAAGGCAAAAAGGCCTTAGTTCGAGTGTTGGTAGAGGCATGGATCAACGACAAGGGTTTGACTGCAAATCTGCTACTAGGCAACGACTTTCTGACGGAAGTGGGAGCAATTATCAATTTTCAACAGGACAAACTCATGTTCGCAGGACATGACGAATTCAACATACCGATACGATATTGCAAGCATACGAGAGCAATCCGCAGGAAAGTAGTGTCCCCGAACAGAATCGAAGTGCCAGCCCGGACGATGATAACAGTACCCGTGAACTACATGAATTTGCCTAAAGGCAGAGATTTCGAATTTGTTCCAGAATTTCAGGGAGCAATGAACAGCTTGCATAACGCGAAGTCAGCCAAAGGAATCGCTTATTTGAACCAGTCCGACGAAACAGTCATTATTCACAAGCATCAGAAATTGGGTTACATGAGTGAAATTCGGGACGAAGGATGCTTCATGACCACGTGGGAGAAAGCGAACTTGGCGCAAGCAGCAGCATCATGTACAGAAAAGGCTGACAAGGACAGACAAGCAGCTCTGACGGACGAATTCGATCTTAGCGACGATATATACGAGGTTCTAGAGGCGAACGAGAAAACACCAGAGGATTTGTGGAGACTTCTTAACAAGTCTGGCGGTTTTGGTCGAAACTTACCCACATTGGGGGCCACCAAACCGCAACACTTCCCTGAGATTGTTACAAACAAAGGAATTCACTGTTGCGCAGAGGACATAAATTTCGCCCGCCGACTAGCGGATACTTCTGATCGCTGGGACGTATGGGAAGACAAAGGAGTTATCAACTTGCCGGAACACGAGAAAATGACTGTCGACCTTATCGACAACTGGCAAGATGTATACAAACCTGGTCATTATTATCCACTTGGAGTTCAAGACCGCAAGTTCCTCGATGACACGTTCGACCCAATGCACGAGAAGGGAAAAATGGACTGGATGCGAGAAGCTTCGCCATTCGGATGCCCCTGCTTCGTCGTGTGGAGAACAGTAGCTGGCAAGAAGAAAGGTAGAGTTGTCATCGACCTGCGAGCTTTGAACAAAGTCTGTTTGACAGATATATACCCTCTTCCGCGACAGGAAGAAATTATGCAACTCATGAAAGGACACAAATACTTCGCAGTGGTCGACGGAACAGCGTTCTATCACCAGTTACCAGTGGCATGGAAGGATAGAAGCAAAATGACTGTAATTTCTCCGAGAGGGTTGGAAGTTTCAAACGTTGCACTGATGGGATTCAAGAATTCGCCAGCGTACGGACAAAGGTTCATGGACCAGAGACTAAAGCCCTTCGAGAAGTTTGCGAAGGCATACGTAGATGACATTGTCATATTCTCCGATTCGAAGAAGGAACATGAGGATCACCTGAATCAGGTATTCGAGATGTGTCAGAACGTGGGACTGGCATTATCACCGAAAAAATCGTTCCTAGGATACCCAGCAATAACACTCTTAGGTTTTACAGTCAATAGCGACGGTGTCGCACTTACAGACGAGCGAATCGATGCGATCAAGAAAATAAAGATGCCTGAGAACTTAGCCGACTTAGAAACATATATTGGCATGACAGGTTACCTCAGGAAGCATATTCCCTGGTATCAGCAAAAGGTCAAACCTTTGCAGGATCGAAAGACCGCATTGCTCGCAAAAGGAAGAGAGACCGAAGCTGTACCATCGAAAACGAGCGCGAGGAAGAAATATACAGCGCGTACGAAATTCACCCCCACCGAGGAGGAGAAGGAATCGTTTCGAATCATACAACGGGAATTGTCTAACCCCCTATTACTGTCGCATTGGAATCACGATGACCATGTGTTCATGAAAATCGACGCTTCTAAACAGCGAGGATTTGGAGTGATGATATTCCAACTAAACACGGAATGGGACGGAACTATACACTTCCCGACGGACAAGATTTTACCCATTCTGTTCATGTCCAAAGTGTTGACGAAAGCTGAATTACGCTACGGATCCACCGAGTTGGAGGTAGCTTGTCTCGTATGGGCATCAAGATTGAATAGAGTCAGGATACAGTCCTGCAAGAAACCGGTACAAGTAATAACAGATCACAAGGCAACAAGCGCAATCGTGAAGCAAACAAGCTTACGTACAGTGGACGTCAACAAAATGAACAACAGACTGACGGTAGCTTCGCTATACCTATCGCAGTTTGACTATGAGGTTCACCACATACCAGGAAGATTAAACCTGGTGCCTGACGCCCTGTCCAGATTGCCTACGATGCCAGACTTCTACGACCAAGAAGAAGCGGACAGTACGAGGTCAATACTGGAAGACATAGTTGAGGACTTCGCTTGTGTTACGAGCGAAGTACACATTAGCGACGATTTTCGAAAGAAAATCATTGAAGGATACGAGAAGGATACGAAATTAGCTAAATTGAAGGAGACCTTGTCAAAAGCAAGCAAGACGAAGAAAGAGGTAGCAAAATGGTACAGGCACATCTTGGAGGACAATTTGATGTACCACATAGATGATTTAGGCCAGAGACGCCTAATTATACCTTCGAACTGCGTACAGGACATATTGAGGATAGCCCACGACGATACGCATCATTTCGGTCCGAACAGAATGATCCACGATTTGCAGAACGTACAGATACAGTCGATGACAAGAAAAATTAGGCAATATATACGACATTGCCCTAGTTGTCACGAGAACCAAATTGACCGCTCGAAACCGTACGGAGAACTTTTACCCATCAACAGCCCAGCTCAGCCATATCACACTGTGGCGTGGGACTTTATTGTTGGGTTACCAAAGGTTCCATCAGCAAATACGCCATGGACATTAGCCGGATACGATCAATTTGACGCGATGATGGTGACGACTTGCAAATTCTCAAAGAAGGTCATATTATTACCTGGCAATACTAAATATACAGCCAAAGATTGGGCAGAACTGGTATTTAGGGCATTGATGTTGTACGATTGGGGCATGCCTGCCAAGGTGATTTCGGATAGAGATCCCAAGTTTACGAGCGAGTTATGGCAGACGCTATTTGCAAGACTCGGCACCATGCTAGCAATGTCAACAAGTTATCACCCCCAAACAGATGGGCAGACAGAACGAAAGAATCAGGAGGTCGAGGGTGCATTGCGATATCACTGTTCATCGTCAGAAATACCATGGTCGAGCATAATACCAGCGCTCCAACATAACATCAACAATGCCAAGTCTACGTCCTTAGGTCGCAGCCCAAACGAGGTTACCTTGGGATTCAAGCCGAGAACAGTATTGTCAGTATTGGAAGCTCCGATAAACGGAGTAGATTACGACGTTTTGCGCAATGCCTATCAGAAAGAGGCGAAAGCAGCAATTGACCTGGCGGCAGCAGAAGCAAAGATCAGGTATGACGCGAAACGAAAACCTATCACGTTCAAGACGGGAGACACCGTATACCTGCGACTACACAAGGGATATAAACTACCAGGTAATAGATCACGAAAGTGGGATGTACAGAGAGTCGGTCCATTGACCATTGAACGACGAGTGGGTGAGCTAGCATACGAACTCAAGATTCCAAACACGTGGCGAATCCACAAAGTTGTATCAGTAGCCCATCTGTACAAAATCCCGCAAGACGCCGACCCCTACAAACGAAGACGGCCGCAAGCTGGTCGTGTTGTCGTCGAAGGGGACAACGAAGAATGGGTCTCGTACGAAATCGAGAAACTGTTGTCAAGGCGAGTGAGCAAAGCCGGTGGTCGTCCCACATTGGAATATTTGGTACATTGGAAGGACTACTCGTCAGCATACGACACATGGTATCCGCGCGAGCTGCTGACTCAGAACGCGATGGAACTGGTAGACGAGTTTGACAAAAAGCACCCATTGTCATTCGACGAATTCAGAATCTCGTCGAAGGACAGAATGACACAAGATGAGAATGAGTCACCAAAGGAAAAGAAGAATCCGAACATCAGAGTAATGATCAAATCAAGAAAGCTGTGGGAAAAAGAGCAGGAACAACTCGACAAAGATAATCGGGAAGGAACGCGAACAACAACCTAAATTTTTTTTCCGCAAAACTTTGAATGCGCACAATCCCCTCATTCAAATTTTTACCATCTACAACCACGAGCACCCATATCCTCATCAACATTCATTCCAGTTGTACCATCTTTTGCACACACGAACATATACCCACGAACACGTTCATCAATCTGATTTCTCGCAACGGCGCCAAATCATTTCAATCATGTTACTATGAATCCATTTACGCGCTTCGAATGGGGTCCTAAGGGAATAAACCCGGACCAACAGGAAGTTGACGAACTGATCGAGAACCCGAACCACGACTTCCGACAAGCGTTCCACCGACCATATCGTTGGAACACGAACAACATCAACGAACCGCGAACCCTCATCAAGGATAACGCGTACGGAATCGATGAGCAAGATTTCCTTGAAGATGTTCAGGATCCTCAGAAATATTACGAGACATTGTTGTCATTCACACCTATTCGCCCTTGGTTCGATGCAGAAAAAGTTGTTAGCATTCTCTCCCGTGTCGCAATTAACCAGAAAACATCCAACTCTTACATTCACCGATTGATCACAAAGGAACTGACTGATGTGATGGAATTCGGTCAACGTTACGAATGGAACGCGGACAACGTACCCGAGGACAAGAGACCACGATTGCCTGACGTGAACGGACTCGAAGCTCTGCGTATATTGGGAGACGCCAAACTGGGTTTTGGTACCATGACCAGAAAGGTGGAAAAACAATTGTTGGCATGTGGTTTGGTATGGCTGTTGCAACCACCACAGGAGCGACGGAAGCCAACGTTCTGGCAAAAGATCTTCGATTCGACTACTGCACAGCCAGGACAACTGCTATACGATGAGGAGCTAGAATGGAGATTGTTCGGCGTGGAACAGGATGTCGGTGCTCTCGTCGAGGCAGTGGAGAGAACTAATAAAAACTTGGAGGATGTCAGCAAGAAGATGGATCAACTCCTATCTCCCAAACATGAACAAACCACCCCGAAGAGACGCCAGTTCCGGCCAGAGTAAGCAACGAGGACGTTGCTATCTTTTTTCAAAAGGGGGCAGATGTTGGGAGACATGTAGCTTAGACCTTATCTTACAGATAAGGATAAGGAGTTATCTTTGATTGTCAAAGGCTTTGTTGCTTAAGCTCACGCTGTAGTTAAACTTAGAAGAGACAACTATTAATCTGACTACACTCACCACCGTACGTGCACCTTACAATTATCGTGTTTTATATTTCCCCGTTTTTTAATATTAATATTAATTTTTAATAAAAAACGTAATTATTTTTATAATTAAGTTAAAATGTTTTTATAATTATTAATATTATTACTTTTAAAATTATTTTAATTATATATATTTTCGAAATAATTATTATAATAAATTAAGTTAAAAATGTTTTAAAAAAAAATATTATTATTATATTCATTTAATAAGTTATTATTATTTTATATTTTTAAATAAATATATTTTTTATTAATTATTTTAATCGTGTAAATTTTATTTTATAATTAAAGGTAATTATTATTAAATTTTTTAAAGATTTTTTTAATATTATTAGTTTTTTAAGTTTTAAATATATTAAAATATATATCCGTATTTAAGTTTTTAAGAAATAATAAAATAAATTTAACGAATATTATTTATATAAAATAAGTAAAAAAATATTTTTAAAATAATTTTTTAAATAAGAAAAATGGTTTATTATAATAATAAATAATTATTTTTAAGTTATAATTATTTAATTTATTTAAAATTAAAAATGTATAAAACCGAAAATAAAATTAATTATTATTTTAAAAGGTTAGGTTTTTTTTTAAAAAGAAAATAAAGTTATTATAATCGAAAAATTAATGAATATCCTTGTGAAAAAATAAAAGATTATAATAATTATAAAGTGGATTATTATGTAAGTAATTATTAAGCGTTATATAATTACGTATATGGTTTTTTATAAATTATTTTTTATTATTTTTAAATTTTAAAATAATATAATAAAGCTTTAATTTATATAATATTTTATTAAAGTAATAAAATTTATTATAAATATTAATGGTTAAAAAAAGAATAAATGAGTTAATAAATTATATTATTTATGTAATTTTAATTTCATTAGTTTTATTTAATTTATTAATATTAAAAAAATTAATTATATTTTATATTTTTAAAAAAAAGTTAAGAAAAAACTAATGGTTAAAATTTAAAATAATAAAATATTAATTTATTAAATATAAATTAAAATTTATATTAAATGAAATGATATAAAATAAATAATTAATTATTAATTTAATTTAAAATATGGAAATAATATTTATTAATTTTTAATATTTTATTATTAAATATTATAATTACGGGTTTTCCGGGATTTAAATATTTTAATAAAAATAATTTATCCTTTTAATTCCGTTTTTCGTTTATTATTTATATATTATTAATTATAATATAATACGTATAATATATAAAAGGATAATAAAAACTTTTATTTAAAGTTTATAAATTTAATAATGGGTTTAAATTAAAATAAACGGGATAATAAATATTAATATAATGAAGTAAGTTTTTAATTTTTTAACTTATAAAAAAAGTTATAAGTGTAAAAAATTTATAAATATTTATTATTTTTAAAATGCGATAAATAAATTATTAATAATTTAATAAATAATTATTTAAAAGTAAAAGTAAATAATAGTTAATATAATAATATAATAAAATATAAAAAAAATATAATATTAAATGTTTATATTATTTAATAAATTTTAATTAATTATTTTTTTTTAAATTATTAAGTTTAATATAGTTATAATATATTTAATATTACTTTTATTTATGTTTATATTTATATAAATTAAAATTTTATACTTAAATAATTTTATTAAAAGTAAAATTATTTATTAAATATTAAAGTTTTAAATAATTTTTAAAATAAGGAATTAAATAATTTAAAATGTATTTAATTTAAATAATTTTATATATTATTATATATTTTTAAAATAATAAGTTAAATATTTAATTATATAATGGTATTTATTACATGATATGTTTTTTTTAAAAAAGTATTTTTAAGGTTTTAAAACTTTAATAATTTTTATTTTAAAATTTATATTAATTTAATATTAATATTAATTAAATTATTTAATTAAAGTTTATAAAAATATTTTTTAAAAGAATTTATTATTAATATTTCGAAAGTTATTTAATTTTAAAAAAGGAAATTAAATATAAAAAATTAATTAATAATTTTAATAAAGAAAGTTTTATCGATAAGGAATTTAATTAATTAAAGATTACGCGCTTAAATTTAAGTTATATTATTAAAATATAATATTATTAAAATAATAAAACTTAAAGAAAAATTATTTCGGAATATTTATTAAAGTGTTAATAATTTTTTTTTATTTATAATATTATAATAAAATTATAACTTACGTATAATTTTATTTAATTTTATTATAATAATAATAATTATTTTAAAAAAATATAATTAACGCTTTTAAAATTAAAATTAATATTTATTATTTTTAAATTATTTTTTATTTAAAAAATGTTACAATTATATAAAAAAAAAAATTCATTTATTAAAAAAAAGCGCAGGTTTTTATAATAATTCCGTTAATAATTAATTCTTTTTTTATTTAATAAATTATATTTATTTAAAAATCATGTTTAATAAAAAATATTAATATTATTTATTATATTTATATAATTAAAATCTTTTAAAATAAAAAATTCATTAATATTTAAAAGCTTTACTTTATTATTTCTTAAGAAACTTTAAAACTTTTTATTTAATTTAAAAGATTTTACGTTAAAATTTATATTAATTATTTTTAATATATTTTATAATAATATAAACGATAATAAATCTTTTTAATTTATTTTTAAAAATTATTATAACGTTATTTATAAATTTATGTTCCGAATTAATAAATTAAAACATAATTATATATTTTTTTATAAAGAATTACGGGGTGTATTAAATAATGTGATAAATGTGTTTTAAATTATTAATAAATAATTTTAATTTTTAAAATTATTAAAAGAAAAGTTTTAATATATAAAATTAATATTATGGAATATTAAATAATTAAATAATAAAGTTAAAATATAAAACGAATAAAATGTAAAATTATTAATTTTTTTATAACGTAAATAAATTAATATAAAAAATAATAAAAACTTAGGGATATATAATAATATATATGAATATAAAAATAAAAATAATAATAATAGGTATAAGTATAAATTCATAGATAAGAAATATAAAAATTTAAATAAAAATAAAAAATAAATAAAAGTTATGTTTTTAAAAAACGATATAAAAATTATATTTAATTAAACCTTATTTAGTAACGGTTTAATTTAAAATCTTAAATTTAAAGTTATAAATAAAACTTTCATTAATTATTAAATTATTTTTTCTTTAAATTTTATAAATGCGTTAAAACTTTTTATTTTAACGTTAAACATATTTTATAATTATTTATGTACATTTTTATTAAAAAATTTAAATAATAAAACATAAGCGTTTTAAACGAATAATATTTTTAATTATTTATTTTTTATAATAAAATTTAAAAATATTAATATTAATTATATTAATATTATATAAGTGGTTATAAATTAATGTATTTTAAGTTATATTATTAATTTTTATATAATTAATAAATTTAATAATATATTAAAAACTTTAAATAAATTTCTTTTTATAATTATTATATTTAATATTATAACGAATAAGTTTAAAATAAAGTTCTTTATATTTTAATAAAAAAAAAGCGGCAAGGGTTATAAATTTATTATTTATTTAATTAAGGATTTTTATTTTTAAAAAGAATAAAATTATTTAAAATTTCGTATATATATATTAAATATTTTTAAATAAATAATAATAAAAGAATTATTATTTATAAAATTTATTATAAAAAAATATTTATAATACATGTTATGTAAATTATTTATTAATAAATTATCGCGTTAAATATAATTTTTATAAGGTTTATTTTAATATATTTTAATTATTTTAAATAATTAAAAATGGAAGCCTTGTAAGTAAAATTACGGAAAACGTGGAAAAAAGGAAAAAAAGTAATAATATAATTTATAAATAAATATAATTTTTATAAAAATTTATAAATTATATAATTTAATCGTTAAATTTAATTATATTTTATTTTTAATGTTTTAATATACGTGTTTATTTTTTATTTTAATTTAAGTTAAATATAATTAAATAAACGAATTATTATAACTTAATAATTATTTATTTAAATATATTATTATGTAATAAAATTTAAATTATATAATTTTTTTAAACGAAATATATTATAATTAATATTTAATTTTAATATATAAAATAATATAATTAATATTAAATATATAATTTAACGTGTATATCGAAAAATATACGTTAAAATTAATTTAACGTGTGTTAAAGTTAATTTAACATTAAGTTTCTTTTAAAAATTAAATATTAAAAAAACTTTATATAATTAAAATTTTAATTTAAAAATTTTTTTTAACTTGTAAATTTTTTTAAACTTAATTATTATTATTTTATAAACTTTTTTTAATATATAATTATACCGGTTATTATTTTATATTTTATTTATAAAACTTAATATTATAACTTTTAAAAAAAATATATTAATAACATTTATATATAATTCATTTTATAATTAAACTTTAGGAATAATAATATAAATAAGGTTAAATATTATATTTTTATTATTTTTTTTTTTTAAGTTTTTCCGAAATTAATAATAATTATTTTTATATAAAAATTAATTTTAATAATATATAAATTTAAAAAAACGATTATATTTTTTAACGTGATATTTTAATACATATAATTTATTTTATATATATAATAAAAAATATGTAATATATTATGGTAAAATTTTAAACGGTATTTTATTATTTTAATAAAAGTGTAAATAATTAAATCTTTTTTTAACTTTTTAAAATATTTATTTAAGTTATATTTAATTAGTTTTATAATTATTAAATATTTATTATTAAATTTTTTTTTATAAAAAGTATTATTATTATAAGTGTATTATTTTTTATAA